TATATAATAATCATTTCATGAATCTATTTTTTTAAAAAAAATAAATATAAAAGAATAGAAAATTAAAAATATTGAGTTAAGGTGAAATCATATATGAATCAATTAAAAATAATAAAAAAATTTCATCTTAATTTTATTTTTTTTAATTATTTCTTTTCTAATTTTTTATATATATATTTCTCTTTTAAAAAATATGTTTATGAGTATTATAAAATTTATCGATCCTTGAGTATTATTAAATTTCGAAAACTAGCTACCCAACAAGTATTGGGGTAACAACCTATAAGTAGGATGATTAGTGGGAGAATTCTCATTTGAATTACTAATTGATTGATGTCGGCGGCAAATCATTTGAATTATTGGACTTTTGAATTGTTAAAAGATGTTTGCAAACTGTATGTTGGTTTTATTAGAACACTAGTTTGGACGGCCCGACCATTGTTTTATGGTCATCCAAACTAGTGTTCTAATAAAAATATTATTTGTTTAAACATGTTCAGAAATTATCTTTATCATGGATGGAAACAAATCATACAAAATTTTCATTTAAAAATTGCATGTTTTGTTTGGATTTACGTTAAAATAAATCATACAATAATTTACTTTGTGTTATGGTTTTGAAGATTGTACATGTGTTTTTTTTATATATATTGAATTTCACTACGAGCAATTGTTATTTTAACAAATAATTAAACGAAATTTTCATACAAATTGGTTTAGCAATTCGTTTATTCATGATTAACCAATAATTTGAAATGTGTCAGGATCCATAATCTACCAATTATCACTTTATATATATTTTTTTATATGAAAATTTAGTAATATATATATATATATATATAAAAGTTCTAAGTAAAATTTACAAAAATTTCAACCCTTTTTCATGAATACACTACTATCAACAAAATATTTTTTTTCCCGTAATCCTAATTCTATATGGTATTCTTTTTAAAGAGTTAATGATAATTTTAGTTTAACAAGTTATAAGTTTTTTTTCAAATCAAGTATGCTCTCTTTATTATTATTTTTTGTTTGAGTAATTCAAAATTTAATTTTTTTTCATCAAGTGTCTTTCATAAATTTCTATCAATTTTTTCTTTGTTATTTGCACACGTGGCCCATTAATAGTAGCTATCTGTAAGACACATGACTACACGTGTAAATGGCCAGAAAAATAAAAAAATAAAAATAAAAAATGGTATTCAATAGTGGTTTGTTGTTGGGGAGAAAGGAGATGAAATATGGTGGGTAAATAACAAAAAAAAAAAAAAAATTGACGAAAAAATAATGAAAACACTAAATTAGAAAAAAAAATATTTAAATTACTCAAACAATAAAGATTAAAGAAGACATACTTGATTTTAAAAAAATTGACAATTTTATAAAGAGAAAATGTGATTTAAATCTTTTTTAAAACTTTCTCTATGTATATATATTTTTTTCAATAAAAACTTCTAATTCTCATGATAATTTTCTAAAAAGCAATGGAGTACTATTAAACCTACCAATGGCAAAAAATGAAATTAACTAAAACTCAAGGGACTTATAACTTATCTTGTAACATCAACAACGTCTCTGACAATCTAAGCTCTTATAAAATTGAGCTTCGCCCATTGATAGACTCTGCAACGAGCCCACCAAACACCTTCAATGCATTCCTCTCTCCCTCTCTATTAATCAGAAAAAGCTCTCTTTTTTCTGTCTGTTGACTTATAAATTTCTTGATTTTGTTTCAACTACTTATAAAGGTAAGATGCATCATCAAGTTTCAGCTGGAATCATCAGTCTCTTGTTTTTAAAAAGTTTTTTTTTTTTTTTTTAGTGGAATCTAACGAAAGGGTTTTTGGGTTTTGCAGGGAGGTATAAATGGAAGCAGCTACAACAACTTTTATTAGATCTTCAATTGGGATCTCTAGACCTGCAAAATCTGTTGCCAGATTGGGTTTTTTAGCTACCAATAAACAAGATTTTGTACCTTTTCCTATTAAGGTACTATCTACTAGTCTTCTTTTTTGGTTTTGGATGATGGGTTTTTGGGTTCATTTATGAATTTGTATATGTTGAAATATATTCCTAATTTATGGAAGCTATTGTAGCTTTTAAGTCTTAGTTAAAGGTTTAAATTTTCTTATGACTCAATTTAATTCTTGCAGTTGCGCTCTTAATAAGAGTGAATCAAGTCTTATGTTTCATGCAGAAGATTTGGTCTAGGAGATGGATTCTATGTGTAATTGTGTACTGATTGTTTGTCCAAAAATAAAGCTTTTAAGAATTGTTTTACTTGAAGTTTTGAAAATTTTATAATTCTTTGGGTTTAGTTGGGATTTTTAACGTTTACTTTATTATTGGTTTACTGTACTTTGATATTAAATGTCTGGAAAACTAGTGTTTGATTCCTTTTCCTTTTGTGCTATTTGGATTGCAGCATTGTTTTTCAATTTCATACTCAAAGCCGGGTCATAGGAGAGTGGCGTATGGAAGCAGGAAATGTATGGAAGTGACGGCATCATCATCATCATCTTCAGATTCTTCCGGATCAATTGCATCAATTGCTCCACTTCAGCTTGAGTCTCCAATAGGGCAGTTCTTATCTCAGATTTTGGTTAGTCACCCTCATCTTGTGCTGGCAGCAGTAGAGCAGCAGCTTGAGCAACTTCAAACTGATCGTGATGCCGAGAAACAGAAGGAAGAGCCTTCTGCAGCTGGCACCGACTTGGTATTGTATAGGTTAGTTTAACAATATTGCTAGATAACTGAAGTTTATAAGTGCTGATACTGATACTGAAAATTGATTCTATAATGGGTTCTTGAAATTATTAGGAGAATTGCTGAGGTGAAGGCTAATGAGAGGAGAAAAGCTCTAGAAGAGATTTTGTATGCATTGGTTGTACAGAAGTTCATGGATGCAGATGTTTCTTTGATACCCACCATAGACTCCTCTTCCACAGACCCATCTGGTCGAGTGGACATTTGGCCTAGCCAAGATGAGAAGCTTGAGCGACTTCACTCACCTGAAGCGAATGAAATGATTCAGAACCATCTAGCTCTTATTTTGGGAAATCGGATGGGAGATTCAACTGCTGTTGCTCAGATCAGCAAGCTCAGGGTTGGACAGGTCTATGCAGCATCCGTGATGTATGGATACTTTTTAAAGCGAGTTGATCAAAGATTTCAGCTAGAGAAGACAATGAAAATCCTCCCAAATGCTGTGGATGAGGTAGAAAGTGATTTCCATGAAGCTGTGGGTCAGGATGTGAAACCTGGTGGTGGAGGGGTATCCTATCAAACTGTGTCTTCCCATCCTGAAGCCTTTTCTGGTGGTATCAGTCCTGGAGGATTTGGACATGGATTGAAGGCTTCCCGATTGCGGAATTATGTTATGTCCTTTGATGGGGAGACGCTTCAAAGGTATGCAACAATAAGATCAAAAGAGGCTGTTAGCATCATTGAGAAGCACACCGAGGCTTTGTTTGGAAGACCTGAGATTGTCATAACACCTCAAGGGACCATTGATTCTTCCAAGGATGAACTAGTCAAGATCAGCTTCGGTGGTTTGAAGAGACTTGTTTTGGAAGCTGTTACTTTTGGTTCTTTCCTCTGGGATGTAGAGAGCTATGTGGATTCTAGGTATCACTTTGTTCTAAATTGAATAATGTTCACTTGCATACCTTGCCAAAACAAATAACTGACCAAACTTAAATGCTATGTATGAGTGTAAATTTGGTGATAACTATGAATAGATTGGTGCTAATTGTTCTGTATGTATATATAGTTTTGATGTTCTGTTTTCATGTCTCGATTTGCATCTGTGCATCACCACATGGAGTTTATTCTGTGTGAACTTCGTTTTTCAACTCCTCTTTTTTTCTTTTCTTTTTTCAGTCAATATATGCATGAAAATTTGTAGTTGAGATGCTTGGAATTATCTGTCATATACTCGAGTGTGGTCGCAATAACATAATTGCTTGATTTCTATTTTGCTTCAAATATAATGTTATTTTTGTGTGTAATTGCTAATTTGTATTTTGCTCTACATATTTGTATAATATATTGATAGCATTGCTCGATGCAAACACTCGCGATTTTAATATTACACAAATAAAAATATAAATAATCAAATTTTTTTCTTATATGTATAAGCAGTTATTTGGAACTATGCATTGGACTCAAAAATGAACATCAAGAAGTTGGGAAATGTTTAAGCGAAGAAAACCAATAATTTAGAGCAAGGTTGGCTTGAATTCACCGGGAAAGAAACGAGAGAAAGAAAGCCCAATCCTTGAGTTTCTGTCTGGTGGGGAAAAGTTTATTGATAAATTTTGTCCATAAATTAACTGTATACTAAACATTCCATAGGGAACCACTCTTTAAATAGTCTTTGATGGTCGATTGCTGCATTTACTAGAAGTCGACGTAGGAAGCAGGTACGTTCTAATGTACTAGTAACATTGGCTTTCTGTAGCTAATGACCAAGAGAAGCTTAGATTGGATTCAGAAATCTGGTGATGTGACAGTAACTAGTTGATATGGATTAATCTCAATCCATTTATCATTTGTCTTGTTGGATTAATATCAGCCCTTTATTCATCCCTTCTCTTGTTGAAGATGCTATGGTCACTCCATGAATATAACCAGATTTTGTTGGCGGTCTATAGTCGCGGTATAGTTTTAAATTGTAAATGCAGTTGTAACAATAGTCGCAATTGTGGGTCACGGTTTACTGTAATAATAAAATAATAGTTGTGGTTGTTATATAATATTAAATAACGATAACAGAGTGTTTCAAAATCATTATATAACAGTCGTTATGTAATGGTCATTGGTTAAATATGCGAGTCAAGATATAACATTTTCAAGCTGTCATCATGGGAAGGAAGAAAACTTAGTTACCATCTAGGTATATGCCATTTAACATGTGTAATTTGCGTAGTTAGGTGTTGAACTTCAACCGTCTTTCTTATAATGAAGAGTGGAAAACGCCTGTTTTTATTGATGTGATCCTATAAGACAGGGTTGAGCTGCTTAAACAGCTTCAAATTGTGCAGAACTTTGCCAAAAACATCATAAAATACGACCTTTGCATCTGTCTGCCTAAGTTCGAGGGACGTGAAACCTTGCCCATCATAATAAAATTTGACTCCGTCTCTGTTTAGTTGATCAACATCCCCTCCCCATGCCTTTGATCCACCTCCACTTGTTAAAAAATGGATTTGGCTGCACAAAGAGTCAAGATCTTGAATCTTGGTGATTTTTGTTCCAATCCTTGCAGCAACATAAAGCCAATCTATGTTTGGTTTTAAAACATACCTTGTCCTGCTGGCTATGTGTTCCAAGCAATGATCATGCCCATTTATGTACATATCAACATTGTTTGCCTGGACAATTCAAGGTGTGGTTTGTTAGAAAAACGCTTTCCTGTGACAATCTCAATCTCTTTAATAAGTTTAGCTACCTCAAGTAGTGGGAGAAGCAGCTCCTCTAGCTCCTTTGTTTTCCCATGACGGCCAACGCTTCTGATAGTATGATGCCCAACCACAATCTTCCAGTTTGCAGTTGAGTCCTGCAAAGCTGATTCCAAATCCTGTTGCCAACCATGGAGAGGTGTAGGATTTAGGACAGAAAACAAAGCGTGTACTGTATAGTACTTGCATAAATGTACGAGGATGATCAAAATGAGTAACCTTCAAGAGGTTTGACAGATAATGCTGCCTAGGCATCACTCCTCTCCAGTCATAATGGTGGTGCTTTGGCCTCAGAAAGTACTTGTCCACAAATGGAGTAGTGTCGATGAAGAATAATTCCACAATTTCTAAGAGGATGTGAACAGAGGTCTGAGTTTAGCTAATGCAAAGATAATGCTTCAGGACAAAAACCTCAGAGAGGTTTGACATCTATTTGCTATAGACATCAGGAGTGTTGAATAATTTAGAGTTGGAGATTTATCTTACCTGTGTTAAGAATGAAAGATCTCAGGCAAATCCACCGGCTATCTATATTCCTCAGCATCGGGCTCAACTGAGCCTTGACATTTCCCCTGTAGTCATGGTTGCCTAAAACTAAAAGCAGAAAGTTTTTCAGAACAAGAGAGGTGGTAGAAGAGACCCACATTAGCAAAAACCAGGGTTCAAGTCTTGCTCAAAATAAAAAAGAAAAAATGTTGCATGTTCGCTCGTGTGTATGTATTTGTGCATCCTGTTGATTCCAGAACTTACCGCTATACCACTGCTTTTGAAGGCTCTTTGCAGTATAGATTTTGCTAAATGACTTTTCAAATTCAGGGTCATTTACGCTTCTCAATCCGTCCTCATAGAAGTTGTCTCCAGTGGAAACAACGAAATCAATGTTCAGCTCTTCTCCAATTCTTCCCATCTATAACAAATTTGAGAAATCAAATAATATTCTTGCCTCCAGCATTCCACAGCGGCAGTTCATATACATGAAGCTTATATATATAGCATGATAGAAAGAAACTAAGAGATGGCAGAAAAAAAGAAGGAAAAAAAACCTGAAATGCAACATTGGATTGATTGTAATTTCCTTTTCTTCCCCAGTCTCCAACCACCAAAAAGCTAATTGAGCCATCTTCCTTAATAGGCTGCTCGAATCGCTGAAGCTCAGCTAAGGAACAAAGAACAGACACATGAAAGCAGGTCATCCAGAAGAGGTGCTTTGAAGTGAAATGATGGCAGAAACTAGCCATGATATCCTCAGAAAGAGAGCTTTGGTTTTGAGTGCAAAAGATACGAACTCAAGTAACCTCTTTGAAGAGCATATAATGTAGTGCATGGACACACAAAAAAAGGGGTGTCTGTAGAGATGTTTAGAATTGCAAAAGCAACATGTTAGCTATATACAAATTGGATCCATGCATCTTCAGAATGAAAGATTCATCGAGGGAAAAAGTTAATACAGCCAAAATTCATCCAAGGTCGCCATCGCATCCACTTTCCTAGAAATTTCTCAGTTTGTCTTGTTCAATATCACAAGAGGCATGAAGTTATGACAGATCTTCATTGATGGGCAAGAGAATTCGAGGAAAGTAGCTTTATACTACTATATTGGCTCTTGCTAGATGTCACAGAGGCTGTTGGCTTGTTGCCCTGACCCTAATTTGATACCTAGTCCGTACTAAAATGTTGGTACAAGTCTATCATTATAGGGTACAGACCTTGCCAATTATTCGCATTGGCTATAGAATTGTTTGCCAATCACCAATCTTAATCTTCCATTATAGTGGTAGAATTCAGCTAGGATTCAATCAATTGCAAATATTTATCAGGTAATGGGATTGGTTGTGTTAAAGCACTGATTTACCCATTTTCAGGGTGAAATATTCTTGTAAGACCCATTTTTGCTTTCCTTTTTTTTCTTTGTGTGTTTGGTAATACTAAAAGCAAGGGGATCCCATCAAGATTGATGGAAGCTTGATCAATTTTCATCATTTTCGTGACATTAACTCTCTTTATATGTATATATTCTTTTTTTTTTTTTTTTTTTGATGTGACGCTAACTCACGATTAGCATAGTGTTCAATGGCATTGAAAAATGAGCACAGCAATGATAGTAGAAAAATATATTTATAAAAATTACAATCCTCATGCTCTAGGTCCTTATATTGATGAGCGAAGCAACTTTGTTGTAGTTAATCTATGCAAAACTTTGCCAGAAACATCATAAAATGCAATCTCTGCTTCATTCTGAGTCAATTGCACAGACATGAAACCTTGGCCATCATAGAAGAATTTTAGACCATCTCTGTTCTTTTCTTTAATGTCACCCCTCCATGCCTTAGACCCAGCTCCACTAGTTAGAAATTGTACTGGGCTGTAAACAAATTGTCCAATATCAGTAACATTTTCAAAAAATCTCTCTACTTTCCACCAACACACAGTATCACTAAAGTTGTACCTCTCTGTGTCACTGATGTGTTCAAGGCAATGGTCATGTCCATTCATGTAAAAATCTACGTTGTTGACCTGAAAGTAGTGAAGACATCACAGCATTAGCCCCAATCTTGAGTTCAAAATTACTTGATTAGCTAAAAATAAAACAGAACTGCATTTCGATGATTTTCTTTACCTTCAGGATTGGAAGAAGCTTGCTTACAAGTTCCTCAGTGTCCCCATGATGTCCAATGCTTCTAATCGCATGATGACCCACGACAATTTTCCACTTTGCTCTTGATTCACGCAAAGCCAACTTTAGTTCCTGCTCCAAAAAAGGGCAAAATCCACTAATCAGTTATCCAGAGTACTATTTAAACAGTTCATTGACTATTAATGTTACGCCTATGATGCATTATTTTGAAAGCGAAACAATGAACATACCTTTATTAGGTTTGCAACGTAAGCTCTAGGAGAACCAATGCCTCTCCAGTCATAAGTATGGCCCCCAGCATCAGTGAAGTAAGATTGGACAAAAGGGGTGGTGTCCACAAAGAAAATTTCAGCCAATTCTGCAGAAAAACAAGAGGATTTGAGTTATTAGATGAATACTTCATATACTTTTCAATGCCAAGTGTAAAGGTGATTAATAATAGCAAGTCCGGTCTGTGTATGTGTATGACGTGAAGGAAGGACTTAAAACGTAGAAGCTGCTACACACCAGCGTTGACAATGAAAGATCTCAAACAAAGCCATCTGCTGTCAATTTTCCTAAGTTGATGGCTCAGTTGTGCCTCTGCATTTCCTCTATAATCATGGTTTCCCAACACTGCAGAAGAAGAGGAGGAAAAAAAATAAAGGTTAAAAAATTCTAATCAAGGAAGATCAATATGAGAATTTTGATTAATTTTTTGAACAAAAATTTTCTGCCAGGTTTGGTACCCACCACTATACCACTGCTTTTGCAGGCTATTTGCAGTGTAGATTCGAGTAAATGATTCCTCAAATGCTTTGTCGTGTTTACCAGTTAATCCATCATCATAGAAATTATCGCCTGTTGATACTACAAAATCTATGTCCAGCTCCTCTCCAATCCTTCCCATCTGTATCCATGCAAATCCAAATCAAGGAAAAGTATAGTTATATAGGTATTAATGGAAGGAAATTTCTACAAAAGATGGAAATGTCAATTACATGCTGCATGACTTTCTCCAACTCCTTCTCTTACACATACAGAAACATGGAATAAATAAATAAATAAATAAAGGAAAGAAGCTAGTAGAACACCTGAAGAGCAACTTCAGACTGGTTGAAAGCACCTTTTCTGCCCCAATCTCCAAGCACCAAAAAGGACAGAGTCCCATCAGTTTTTGCAGGATGTTCAAATCTTTGAAGCTCTGCATGCGTAGAGACCAAACACAATCCAAAACTAAAAATCATCAAACCAAGGCATAGAGCCATGTATTTGCTGTCGATGAGACCTGTCATGTCTCTCTAGCTTAGAGCTGAACCGGGAAGTGAGATACAAAGGCGAGCGCAAATGATAGACAGAGAGAATCTTGCTGGGGATAATTCTTTATGCCAAAGAACAAGTAACTTACAACCTTCCCTGTGCTGGAGGGTGTCCAGTCCAAGTCCTATAATTTTTTTAGTCTTTTTGATTAGGCCCTTTTATAGACCAAAAATAGATAGATGAAAAAATGACCGTGGCAATGAAACAGTTACGTTTCAAATAATTCATGAATACGTAGGCCAGGTTAGGTGTGGAATGGGAATTGCTATCGCAGCTCAGCACAGCCAAAATAGCCAATTAGGTTGTCAGTCACCCATTCCTAATGCAGACACTAATAGCAGAATAAAAGGGCCAATGGTATCTGAATTGTGAAATATATATGACAAGACTCATTGACTTTCAGATCAAATCCACTAAGTCCCCATCTGAAATTGAGATTGTTTGATTCTATAATAAACTTAAACCCTGTGTTTGCAATGCTCGAGCTTCTTTCTTTCAACTTCAACGAAACCAATTTGCATTATTGATTAAAAAAAAAGGTTAATTGTAAAAAAAAAAATATTGATAACAAATACTAAAATTCTTAATACAAATGTTAATTATATTAATACGCGTGATATTTTTTATCAAAAAACATATAACGTAACAAAAAAAATATTGATAACAAATACTAAAATTCCTTATCACGGCAGATATTAACGGAATTTTAATCGAAAAAAGTCACACATACTAATATGGTTAACAGAAACTTAATTTATCTATTTTCTATCCAATATTGAAAAAATATCCTAATATAATTAAAAAAATATAAAGTTCTTATTTTTTTTTATACAAATAAACCTTTAAAAAATAAAAATTTTATTTTCTCATGCTTATTAAACAAATGATATTTTAGCATATGTTATCAATTTATACATTAATCGAAATTAATTTTTCTTAAAAAAAATCTCCGTAAATTCATTAATTATATATGAATACCATGCGTTAAAAAGTTTCACAAGTAATTCCCCCTTAGATTACCCAAAAAACAAATAAAGGAATAGCTCTCATTGGTGTAATTGTGCCACAAAAAATGGAATGATCCTCGTGTTGGGACATCACTTAAAATTCTAGTTTTTTTGGATTTCGTTCATTATTTTTTGAATAACTTCAAAGCTTTGAATTGGCAGAAATAAAACAGAATGTTAAACAGTAACAGAAAAAAACGGTGGTCAGTTTTGAAGTTCAGAGGTAGAGAGACTGGGACAAAAACCTGACAGAAGCACCAGGAAAGGATATTCGAATATCCGGTTGGATCGATGTCCGAATATAGGAACTCATTCCTATAGAATATTCGGTGGTTGGATCATCTAGAGTGGACCCTCACTTCATCCAATGGTCTAGAGGAGTATGAAATAATGCATATTAGTAATTATATCCATTGCCTAGTTTTAGCCTTAGGATTATTAGGATTAGCATTAGCATTTAAGTAAGCTTAGCAAGCAACTGTCAATTCGTAATCCGAGAAAGGAAAAAGTTGCGAACGTACTCTTTCCACTATCGTTTGTTTAAAGGATTATGCTGCTGCCACGTAATTGCCTCCTGCGATTGATTGTTGCGTCACGCAACGAATTTTTTCTATATTTTCGTTCATTAAGACCAATATCAATGTATTTCGTCAAACAATCAAATATTTGTTCGTGATTAAAAAAATTAATCAGAATGATAAATTAAAAATTTAGACGTTATTTATAAACATAATAAGTGAATTTTAAATTTAGGGTTTAGGTTAGAATAAATTTGAGTATAATAATCACCGATAAATTTGTAAATACATAAATTTTAAATTTATATTTTGGAAATAAAAATTTAAATTTATGTCTGAAAATAAAAATTTCTTTATGAATCTTTATTTCTGACAATTTTTATGGTAGCTATTTTATTTTGAAGAATATCATATATTAATTTTTATGGTAGCTCTTCCATTTTGAAGAATATCATATATTTTCATAAATATAAAAATAGTACACATTTTTATAGTATTAAAATTGGCCTAAACAATACAATAAATAAGCATATTGTTGTAAACAATTCAAAGAGCGCTATCAATCATAAGTTTAACTCTTGAAACTTATTATACAATAGCTCGTAAGTGATATAGTTGTAAGCGATAAATTATAGACAATAATCAATAGATATTAATTAGGTAAGTGATAATTTGTAGTTGATCACGTATTCTCTAACCATTTGTTTTTATTAACATCTACCGTCCTCTATAGATTATCCATCCACAATTATGCTTGGAATGTCATCTCATGGATATTCATCATTTTCTTTTATTGTAAGTTCATTTAATTAAGTATTGTTTAAGACTATAGTATTGTCATTATTCTATAAAATTGCATGCTTTCATCAATATTACATGTTTTAAGTTATAGTGTTTAATTGTTTAGATTTATAATTTATTCCATTGTTATTGTTATTAAAGTTACATATTAGATTAGAAAGTTTAAATTCTATCTTAATTCATAATTTATTTATAGTTATCTGTCTTTCATTTCTGCAATTCAATAGCTTAGGAGAATAAAAATTTATTTATACATCTTAGTGTTTAATTTAAAAAATATATAAAAATAAATTTATGAATACATATTTTTTAATGATAAAAAAAATCCTTAGATCTATTTATACATCAATTGAAATTAATTTTTTTCAATAAAATCTCCATAAATTCATTAATTATATATGAATACCATGTGTTAAAAAGTTTCACAAGCAATTCGTGGACTACCCCACAGCAAAAAAAAAAATTGAATAACTCACATTGGTGTAATTGTGCCACAAAAAATGGAATTATCCTTGTGTTGTGACATCACTTAAAATTTTACTTTTTTGGATTTCGTTCGTTATTTTTAATATTTTTAAAGCTTTGATTGGGCAGAAGAAAAAACAGACCGTTAAACTGTAACAGAAAATAACGGGGGGCAGTTGAAATTGAGAGTGACAGAGATTGGGAGAAAAAACATTACGGAAGCAGAAAGAAAAGATATGCGAATATGCGGTTGGATCAATGTGCGAATATAAAATGTGTACCATAGAATATTCAGTGGTTACATAAATCTCGAATGGACCCTCACATCAGCTCATGATCTAGAGGAGTATTAAATGATGCATATTAATAATTATATCCAATTCCATTTGCCTTGGTTGAACGAAAAAAATTATCCCATTATGATCTAGTAATTTTAGATTTTTATTATTAATTTCAATTAATTAGACCCTAAATTATTTTTTTTATATAAATATAATTCTTATTCATTATCTTTAACAGTAAAAAAATTGACCGTCAATTATTTAATCGTTAACGATTCAATTTTTTAAAAAAAAATTAGTTAAATTTGTCAAAACATGATCTACATAATATCGTATAATAATTATTCATTAGATTTCAAAATTAATAACATTGATAATTTTTTTAAAAAATACAAATAATCAAATAAAAAAATAAAAAAAATATTTAAATAAAAAATGAAAGTACAAATTATTGATTAGAAATAAAATAAAATACTTATGTTCATGTGATGGAAAGATCAGCATGCTGATGTGTCGATTTAATGGTTATATCGAGTATAAATTTAACGAAATACTTAATTAAAAAAATTAAAAATTTACATTAATGACAATCTAATTAATACTATATTTAAATATTTTATTTTATTTCTAATCTAGTCAATTTAATATTCATATCAGCATGAACTTAATATAAATACTTGGTTAGAAAAAAAATCATAGTTTTATTTTTATTTAAATATATGTATTTTTATTTTTTCTATTTAATTATTTGTACTACTAATTTTTTTCTATGAGTGTTATTAATTTTAAAATTTATTGAATAACCATTGTCAAATCTTATGTAAACTATATTTTGATTAAGTTAACTAAATTTTTTTATAAAAAATTGAAATGTTAATAGTCAAATAGTTGACTATTAAAAATAAAGGATAAGGATTATGTTTATTACAAATTTAATAATTTGAAGTCTAATTAACGTGAATTAATAATAAAAATTCAAAATTATCAGATAATAATAGTTCAAGAGCCATTTTTATCATTAAATCCATTACGATTAGCATTAGCATTAAATAGGGCAAATCGGTTGATGCAGTAAGCAAACTCACAATCAGAGAAAGGAAAAATTTGTAAACCTACTCTTCCCACCGCCTTTCGTTTAAAGGATTGTGCTGCTGCCACTTGCCTCCTGTGATTGGCTGTTGCGTCACGCAACCAAATTTTTCCATATTTTCATTCATCAAGACCAATATTAATGTATCTCATCAATATCTGTACATCCTAAAAAAAGAAAAAAATCAGAATAATAAATTAAAAAATTAAATATTATTCATAAATATAATAAGTATAATAAAAACATAGAGATAAATTGAGAACTCAAATTAGTATACGAAGAAAGATTGACCTATTTATCCAACTTTATATATATATATATATCGGCCACACGGACGCTGAACTTTAACACTATAGACATGTGTATATTATTTTTATATTTATGAAAATGTATGATATTCTTAAAAATACAAGAGTTACGATAAAAATTGTCGGAAATAGAGATTCACACAGAAATTCTTATTTCCAGATATAAATTTAAAATTTATGCATTTACAAATTTCTTAGTGATTGTTATACCCAAATTTATTATTTGTCCAAGCATAATAAATTGAATACAAGACTTGAGAGAAGTTCATCAAGTTCTTGATATAGGCTCACTAGTTCATCTCATTTAAAAGGTTGACCGTCTGGGCCCATTCAAGAAAGAATCAACAGCTCACATATTAGACCCAATACGCACATAAGAGTCCAACCCATGAGGACTGCAGTCAGTTATTTTAAACTAAAACATTGGAGCTCTCGACTGAAATAATGGAAAATGAACTCTAGAGTTGGATATAGCGTGGAAATTAAATGTACATGTAGTTAGAAT